GGCGTGCGATCCCCCTCTGCGCCCCGGCCGCGACCCTCACCCGCAGGCCACGTAGAGAAGCTGGAAGTGGCCCTGGTAGCAGCCTTTGTGGTGCAGCGAGTGCGCGGATCCGAGCGGCAGGAAGTGGAGCGTGAAGGGTGCCCCGGCCGGGTCTCCTGGGGAGGGCGGCAGGGCGTCACCTTCCGGAATCAGACACCCCGACAGGCAGAGTGAGAAACACGCTGGTCCTCCTCAGAGGCCTTTGCCTGTGCCTCCGGATTCCTGCTTGAGGCCGGGAGGCCAGAGCCCGGGTTCACAGTTCACAGGCGGGACAACAGCGGGCGGCCCAGGCCACAAGGGCCGGCTAGGTAGGGGACAGACGCCGGCGAGGCGGCGACGGGGCAGGGCATGGTCAGGAGGAGACAGAATGGGGAGGGCAGTGTCCAAGGCCGGGGGACTTGGTTTTTGCCCAGCAAGTGATTCCAGCACGCCTGGAATCCCGCACTCTGTGAGGCTGAGGCAAAAGGATTGTAAGTTTGAGCCCAGCCTGGACAACCTGGTGATTTAGTGAGACGCTGTCTTATAACGAAAGACAAAGGGGCTGGGGATGCAGCTCAGGGCAGAGGGCCTGGGTTCGATCCCCAACTCTGAGGGGTGCAGAGAGAACATTTTTCAGCCAGCTAAGGCCTTTACAGAATCCGAAGGATAGGGTCAGATTTAGGACAGGGAGAGACCGGAAGAGATTAAGAGGCAGGATGTCAAAGAGCGGTCCCAGCTCGGGCATTGCAAACCCGCGATTCCTTGCTGGGATTCGAACTACGTGGAGCCGGAGGACGGGGTTATCCCAGTCAGCGCTTACCTGAGGTCTGGGCTCTGGGCTCTGGCCCCCCTGCTCCCGGGCTGGCCGCGCACCTTGACGGGCTGCCCGTTCCTGGTCTGCAGGAGGCTCTGGTCATCCGCCTCGATGCCAAAGGCCACGAAGGGCCCCGTAGCGATGTCCCCCCAGTACCCGCGCGCTGCCACGCGCTCCCCGCGCTGGGAAAACAGGGAGAGGAGGCAGGAGAGGTTGACAGCTGGGCTCTGGCCCCCCTGCTCCCGGGCTGGCCGCGCACCTTGACGGGCTGCCCGTTCCTGGTCTGCAGGAGGCTCTGGTCATCCGCCTCGATGCCAAAGGCCACGAAGGGCCCCGTAGCGATGTCCCCCCAGTACCCGCGCGCTGCCACGCGCTCCCCGCGCTGGGAAAACAGGGAGAGGAGGCAGGAGAGGTTGACAGGGATCCAAACTTGTATTAGACCCTGGAGGAGCGGATGGGCCGGCAGCGAAACCCACGTGAGTCAGGAGGCGGCCGGAGGCCAGCGTCCGGTTGGGCTCGTGGTAGGCGCTGGAGTCTCTGAGTTCAAAGGCGACGCCTGTGTCCCTCCAGCGGCGGAATTCCTGAGTGTGGATGACCTGGGCCTGGGTAACGAGGCGGGGAGGCGGTCTGAGCGGCTGCGGGGCCTCCCTGGGACCCGCGCGCCGGCCCGGCTGTGACCCTCACCCCG